CTCAAGTGGTTCAACATTGGGATTTTCCTTCTGAGTTCTGATCTACTGATGCCTTGTAAGCAAGTTCCTTTGAGCAAGTCTGTCCAGTTCAGCAAACTCATTTTCTTTGGAGGATATCAAATGGCTAAGACATATCCCTACCTTTAAGAGTTGCTCAAATTGGCCAGGCATGGTGGTTCATGCCTATAATCCTAGTACTCTGGGAGGCCACGGTGGGTGGATTGCTTTAGCTCAGAGTTTGAGATTAGCCTGCACAAGAATAAGATCCTGCCTCTGCTAAAAATAGAAAAACTAGCCATTGTTGTGGTTGGTGCTTATAGGCCCAGGGACTCAGGAGGCTGAGAACTGCTCAAGTCCAAGAGTTTGAGATTGCTGGGTGGTGCCTGTGGCTCAGTGAGTAGGGTACTGGCCCCATTTACTGAGGGTGGCGGTTTGAGCTTGGCCCTGGCCAAACTGCAACAAAAAAAATAGCTGTGTGTTGTGGCAGGTACCCGTGGTCCTAGCTACTCGGGAGGCTGAGGCAAGAGAATCGGCTAAGCCTAAGAGCTGGAGGTTGCTGTGAGCTGTGACACCACAGCACTCTACTGAGGGCGACAAAGGAAGACTCTGTCTCTAAAGTAATATTATTAATAATAATAATATTTGAGGTTGCTGTGAGCTGTGATGCCACAGCACTCTACCAAGGGTGACAAAGTGATAATAATAATAATAAAATAAGTGATAAAAAAGTAATATAATAAAAAAAAGAGTTTGAGGTTGCTGTAAGCTATGATGCCATGGCACTGTACCCCAGGCCATGGAGTGAGACTGTCTTAATCAAACAAACAAACAAGCAAGCAAACAAAAAAACGTTACTCAAACTGTAGAGGGAGACACATGCGGCCCCCTACTAACATTGGTGGGAAGCTTTGGGGAGACTGAGGAACAGTGGTAAGAGTTGGACAGACAACTACAGGCTTCTCAGGGGATAAGATCTGCACACTTTGAAAAGGTGACTTTGGCTTGGCACCTGTAGCTCAGTAGCTAGGGCGCCAGCCACATACACCAGGGCTGGTGGGTTTGAACCCAGCCTAGGCCTGCCAAACAATGACAAGTACAGCCAAAAAATAGCTGGGCATTGTGATGGGTGCCTGTAGTCCCAGCTACTTGGGAGGCTGAGGCAAGGGAATTGCTTAAGCCCAAGAGTTTGAGGTTGCTGTGAGCCGTGATGCCACTGCACTCTACCAAGGGCGACATAGTAAGACTTTGTCTCAAAAAAAAAAAAGGTGAGTTTGAGCTGAATCTTTTTATAATTATCTTTAATAATATATCTTTATTTCTAATTACTTTATTACTATTTAATTTTTATTGTACCATCACATCTATAGTCTTTTC